TACTCTGTTTCAAATCCCAGACAGAAAAGAGATGAGTGGAAACTAAGGAACTCTCTTAGACTCGACCGACACAATATCCTCCCCAAAATTTATCCCCATTCTGCATAGTTTATAACCTATTTTATAAATAGCTGATATTTCAATTTCGATACGAATATCTTTATTCTGTGTCCAGATTAAAATTAATCTCCAAACTTCTCTCTTATAAAATTCGCTACTCTGTTTCAAATCCCAGACAGAAAAGAGATGAGTGGAAACTAACGAACCCCCTTAAACTCGGCCGACACAATATCCACCCCGAAATTTACCGCATTTATCCCCATTCTGCCCGGTTTATCAAAATTATTCGAGCGAAACACGCTTATATACCCGATTCGAATGCGAACTTCTCCCGATCTGCAAGTTGCCGCAACGTAGCGCGGTTTAGAACGTGACCGATTGCGCGCTCGTGTAGCGGGGAGTACCAGCAGACGGAGGAACGTACGTGTCCCAGCTTCGTCCCCATAATATATATAGCCCCTACATAGAGACGAGCATACGTCGTTGTCGTTTCTCGTCGTGTACACACACACACACGCGCGCACAGAGACAGGGTGAGACAAGATATATACATAGGTGTGTATATATATATATATGCAAGTACGTGCGAGCACGGAGATTGCTCCGGGGCTTTCGGGGTTGAGCATATTGAATAACTCGCTCGCTGGACCGCGAAAATATACCGCGAGGCTGGTAGTATGCGGATCGACGTTCCTGAAAGGACCTTGCAGGATCCTCGGGGCGGGCACTGTATCCTGTCTACAGTGTCTACCACCTAACCCACCCCGAGCGAAATAACGACGACTATACACACGCGCACCAGCATTGAGGAAGAGAGAGAGAGACATTGCCGCGTGTATTACCTCTGTGCCGATGCTGAAAATGCATCGCTAAGGGAATTTCGCGTTGCGATAGCGTTCCACGGACTCGTGGAACGATCGTAACCTGTGTCCTCTACAATTGTATATATATATATATATACGTATATATACACGTAATATAACGAGAGAGTGTATCGTCTTTTTCCTGTTTCCATCCTGTGCGTTACGGCAATACTGGTATAGGTAATAACGTTTTAATCGTTTCTCCGATTCGAGGAACCAAAATCTAAAATCGATGATGGACACTCTCTCTCTCTCTCTCTCTCTCTCTCTCTCTCTTGCAGTATTTCGCAGGAAAGGGATACAACGCGTTTCTCCTCTTCGGTTTATCGGTTTGTTCGAGGAGGGTTTATGGGTAATTCATGTGGTGGAAATGTGTTGCGTACGGGGAGAGGAGGGGAGGGAAGAAGAGGAATGTTTCCGCGCTCGCGTTCGATGACAAGTGGGAAAAAAAAAAAAGGGAGCGAGAAAAGGGGAAGGGATAACGGCGATATAAATGTGTACGGGCGTCGAGTTCAATACCGGGGAATCGATGTTTTTTTAGAGAAGCCAGCCGATGCTTTTCCGCGTTCCGTTTTCCCGTTTTCCCGTTTCCCCGTGTGCAGATACATGTGTATATATGTATATATATATATATATATATATATAGGCAGGACGTACGTAAGGGAAGCGGAGGTGGATTCGTCCGGGGGGGATTCGCGGGATTACGTGCAGGAAAATGTGGCTCGGGGCCAGGAACGGAATGTCGTTACGCTGGGGGTAACGATAGGTACGGAGGGGGAGGGGGAAGGGCACGGCCATTGTCGGATAACCTGACTAGAATACACAGACGTTCGTATCGGAGGAGGAGAGGTAAAGAGAATTGGTCATCCGAGCATCTCGAATTTCTTTGCAAATCCATAACGAATCGCGGAGAATCTCTCCCTCCGACATTTCCCCCCTCCCCCCTCTGCGTTAATTGGTCCGTTTTCTCTTCTTTGAACGAACTCTCCTTTTCAATCCAGGAATAGGGAGGAACCGAGTTGCGTGCTTTTGTCACGATCATTCGAAATATTCAAGTGTCCAATTGTGTTACTGTACAACTGTGTTTTTATGTATACAGCGAGATACGTTGGGTAATTGCGGTCAATTTGCGGATTGAAAGTTCGAAAAAAAGGAACGTTCGAAAGTTGGAGGAGGGGGAGATAAAAGGGGATAAGTTTGAAACGTTAATCGAAGAAGGCGTCCGATTTGCAATCGGGCTCGTCTACTTTGAAATGCAGCGCGATAGCTCGATCACTAAGCAAAGCTAATTTCACTACCATCCACTAATTTGGCCTAAAATCATCGCTATTGAATACGGGGGGAGCAATTAGAAAACGGGTATCCGAATGCAAATTGCGAAATTACTAGAATTCCTAGGGTGTTTAAACCGTAAGAAAATGGATCTGGATGCGAGAGAGTAGAGACGGCGCAACGCTTGAAACGTGTAATCTTTTTCCCGTTGCGCGGCCTCATCAAGATCAATTAGACCAGTATAGTCGTACGATCCTTGACCGTTAACGATATATCAATTACAGCATAGACGTAGGTAATAACTATTAATGACTTCATTCAGGGCAGAGTAATTACAGATGTCCGCGCACGACCGAGAATCTGGGTCGGGACGATTTTAGAACCGGCGAATTTACTTTACAGCTTTCAAAATCGGCTTGAGAAGGAAAAGAAGAAATAAATCCGCCAATTCATTTGCAAATAAAACGATCCGTTATTTTAAAACAAATTTTCTTTCTCGAGGTTTCTAATAAAATAAAATTTCCAGGCACAAAAAAAATTGAACGCAACAACCCTTGTTTCGTATCGGCTTACTTTCGTATGAAAGTAAATTTGATTTACAAATTTTGGAAAAGGAAATCTTTTCTGCTTGAAGATATATTTATTAACAGAGAATGGGCTTCCAATTTTGCAACAGACGATGACTTGTCAAGAAAATGGACAAAAAATATAGAGGTTTCGTTTTTGAAAATTGGAATAATTTCATAAACGGATATATAGCAAACATGTTTTACGTGCATAATTTAGTTAGCATTAATTTTACGAATTAATAGAAAAATATTTGAAATGTCAATCAACGTTGTTATACGATCTCTTTATTTTGAAATTTAATTTCATTTACTTAATTCTAATCAAACGTAGAATGAAAGAGTCAGCCGATACAAGAGTCAACAGCGTATGAAAGAGAACGTAACATCGTATCAATGACACGAAACAAATCAAGATATCATCGTTATTTATAAATATCGATATAATCAGAAATGGAGAATTCACAAACTTATTTACAAACTTAAGTTAACACGTTATGAAACGAAATCTTAAACGCGATGTTTCTCTCTTATTTTCGAACCAATATTCGAAATCGAAACCTTTTCTTCGCGTCGCATAAAACGATCTCGTTACCGCGCAAACAAAAAAGATTCAATTGTCGAGCGTTCCAAACTCCCCTAACTTTAATACACGCATTCTCCAAACTCGCATGTATGCCTTCGCAAAACGTTTTCGCACACGTGGAGCTGCGCAACATGCGCGTACACGAATGGAATATACAATCCTCGTAAAACTTATGGTCCTTCCCTGGTAAAGTCGTAAATCAAAGAAGAAATTTGGGACCGTACTTGGATATTTCACCAAGAAGAACGTAAGAGCAAGTGAAACTTGTCCGTTGGAGAAGGACAGTCATAAAGCTTGGGGAAAACCCAGTGTAAATTTCCTTATAAGGGAGACAATAGTGGCGCTATTCATTTACGGGGAACAATCCAACAGTACTGCCACCAGACGTTACCTGGAGGTGCTGTTTCGAGGTGCTTCGAATCGAACCGACAGGTGGTGCAACCACTTCTTCTTCTTCTTCTTCTTCTTCTTCTTCTACGATCCAGTCGTTCGAACGTCGACCTCTTAGCGACGATCAGTCGTGACTAATCGAGGTTGGGCCGGATTATTACTTTCCTTTCTTTTATTTTAATAGCGGTAGTCGAAAACGCCTCGACAATTATGATAATCCTACACATCCTAACTCTTTACATAATTTTTACGTATATTTGGGCTTGTCGTGTTTTCTTCTTCTTCTTCTTCTTCTTTTTCATTAATTCACGTAACGCGTTAAATTAATTTTTATAATTTTTTCTAAAACAAAATTTTACCGCGTACAAAAATTAAATTAACGAGTTTTAATTCGTTTAAAATTCTCGGATCGATTCGATTAAACGATAGATAGATAAATGTAGTTAGAATTAATATTTGTCGAAGGTGGATAAAGATAGAAACGGTTACATCATTCTGAGAACTCGTTTCAAATCCCGTTTTCAAACGTAAAGCGCTACGAAATTGACTGGGATGGTGTTCAGAGTCGATTTGGGAAGGACTCGCCTATGCAGAGGACGGTATCCACGGAACGAAAGGAGAGGAAAGCATCGACGAAATACAATTTGAAAGACGTAATTCGAAAATCGTTGTACGCCCGACGGCAGCGACCCTCCGTCGGACGTCAAAATGAAATTACGCGACCCTCCACGCGGGGACCTTGGGACACAAGGCACAAAGGCTCGTTTGCCGAGGATACGGCACAACAATCCGACTGAAGGGACCTAAACCACTAATCGTTTCGCGATTAACTTCCATTAAACGCTACTTAATGAACAAAACTTTCGTGTCCTCCCGCGATCAACCGCAATCGTTCGCGCTAAATCGAAACGTACAGGTAGAATTCCTCCCGTTAAATCACTTTTGATCTTTCGCAAAAATTGCGAAATCCCTTTTAGATTTCGAATTCTTCGAATTTTATTTATATATATATATATATATAATACCACTTCACTTGTAATCGCGTGACTAGTAATCTAAACGAATCATCGTCGTTTATTTCGTTATCTTTCTGAAAAATATAACTTTTATAAATTTCTAGAAAGCAATCTGGATTTCACTTTACTTTCAATTATGCTTTTCGATTATTTTTTTTTTCGATTAACTTAATTAATCTCGCGATCACAATTCGTGCAATACAAGTGAAACGGCAAGTGAATGAAAATATTTTCGTAAGAGACGTACCTATTTTTTGCTGCAGCAGCACGATCCCTTTGCCTCCTGTTCTTGAACCAATTACCAACCTGCGTCGGCGTGAGGCCCGTCGCCGCGGCGAGTTCCCTCTTCTTCCCGGGATTCGGATACGGATCCTGGAGGTACCACTCTCTCAACAACGATCTGGTTCTCTCCTTGAAGCAATGAGTCTTTTGTTCCCCATCCCAGATCGTCCTCGGTAATGGAAATTTCTTTCTAACCCTGTACTTATCCACTGGGCCTAGGGGCCTTCCTCGAAGCTTCTCTGCTTCCTGGTAATGCGCCTCCAGCCACATCGCTTGGAGTTTACCATGGGAGTCCTTGGTGAACTTGTGCCTCTCCAGTATGGCGTACAACTCTCTGTAATGTCCCGAGTGGAAAGCGACGATAGCTCTTGCCCTCAGCACAGCCTCGCTTTGATTCAATTCCTGGATGTTGGGATGCGCGACTGGAAGGCTCCAAAGGAACCTCGCCAGCCTC